CACAAAAACGTTATTATTGCGTTGTGTCCTAAGGTAACCTATAATATGTAAAATAAAAAAAAGTTTTATTTTTTTTACCTTAAAATAATGAATACCCTTGAATTTCCAGGTTCGAATCCTGGGAGAACGGTCAACACTTTTTAAGTGTATTCTGGTTACCCATAGTTGATATTGAATTGTATTAAACGATAGAATAAGTATAACAAAATACTATTTAAATTATTCAAAATTTCTTTATTTCTTATAATAATCTTTTCCTTTAAAACTTTGACAATTTTTTTTAATTTAATTAATCTTTACAAAATAAAAACTAAAATTATATAATTATTATTTCTTCTTTTTTTATAAATTTAACAAAAATTTTTCAATGAATTAATTTTACAAAAATATATATTTTCAAAAAAATATATTATTATAATAATAATTATTATTTTTTTACATTAAATAATAATAATTTTTTTCCTCCAATCAGATGTCTACAATCCATCTGATTGACATTTGAGGCTTATATATATATATATTCATTTTTTTAACATACTAAGACAAGGACAAAGTTTGATTTTTATTCACTTAACTTAAAAACGCTTAATTTACTATTTTTTTATGAAAACGGGTTGGGCTCTGGCTTAAAATATAAATTCGGGCCCGGGCCTTTGGGATTGAGACTGATTAATTTGCAGAGCTTCTGTCATCTTATTCTAATACGCGAATAATACTTTCGTCATTTTAATATGAGATTCGTGAATATGCAGCTTATATCTATTAGCAAATATTGACGCAATATAATTATATAAAATTGTGATCTGCATTCGGTCTAAATATCATTAGGCACGGCCCGAAATTTTTTTAAAAAACATGTCATAGCCCTAACCGAAACTACTTTTAAAAATAGGCTAACCCCACCAAAGTCAATTCGAGCCTTGGTGGAAGGGGGGGTTGGGCCTTACAGATCACTAATTAAAATATTAATAATTTGAAATAAATGATTGAATAAATGGATATTAACCATTGAGAACGTTCATGGACCCTATATAAAACAATATCATTAGTTAGAAAAGTATTACGGTTTGGATTTTTCAGTAGATTAATAATTTGGAATGTATTCAAAATTTAATTTACTTTTGAGGGTTTTTTGAGAGATCAAAGGTTTTTAGTCAATTTCGATCAACTCAAATTTTTTTAATATACTACAATTTCAATATAAATAACAAAGACCTGCAGAGGTATCATTTGCACGGCCCGGCCAGGATTTTTTTTTTTCAGGGACGGGATTTTTTTAAAATATATTACTTTTAATTTTAATAGCTACGATTTAAAATATTCGTTTTTAAAATGGCCCGTTCTGGGTATTGTTTTTAAATTTTTTAAGCCCCGGCCCAGGTATTTAAAAAATTTTTTAGGTCCGGCTCGGGTTATTTAAAATTAAAATACGGACCGGACCAATCTTGTCTCTCATAAATAGGAATTTTTGGGCTAAAAATGTGTTAATTTGTTATTAACAATAAAATAAAGATAAAATAATTTTTTAATGTGGGAAATTTTATGATTTTTTTATATATGTTGTATTCCATATTAAATCAACCAACCCGACCCCCTTCGATTTTTTTAAAAATTTGTATGTTGGTAGTATATACTAACTAATAAAAATGTAAAATTTACTTTTCAAATCCGCTTTAGAAACGCGAAAATTCTAAAATACACTATTTAATTTAAAATATCTCAAAAAGGAATTATGCTAAAAACAAAATTTTATTAAATAGCTTTATAATAGCCCTTTAATATGATATAAAATTTATTTTCTTAACAATAAGTCTAATAATCAAAACCCGGAAATTGAAAACGGAAATGACCATATAATAAAAATTGCTCTGTTTTTTTTCTAATTTTTTTTTACAGATAGACATTATACTTCCTAATATTTGTACAAATTTCTAGACTGGGATAAGTATTGGACAAGCAGTTATTACACTTTAAATGGCTTAAATTCTATATTATACCAAATATTTTTTAAGTGGTCAATAGTATGAAACTAAAATCCTAAAAAATCCAATTATTTTGCGTTTTTTAAATTGTATTGTACTATTTTAAATATAACGCAAAACATCTTAATTTGGAAGCATTATAAGGAATAAATAAGATTTTGTAAAAATTAACAACTATGATAATAAAAAGTGAGCTCAATAATCTCTTCATCCCACATAAAAATGGAATAAAAACAAAATTATATAAACCTACCATTATAACTGTTATGTTCTACCTCTCCCCCCCCCCCTCTTGTCCCGTATAACTTATTTCTTTAAGTTTTTCTCCACTTATTTCTTTTGTTTTCCCATCGTCCTTTTTTTTTATATTGATACAATACCTTATTTTTAACCAGTTTCAAGAATGATTGTATCGCGATATTATATAACAACATGTTATTTTTTTTTCTTTGTTTGATAAATTATAAAAGGTTGCAAAAATACCTTTATTAGGGATTCTTTTTTTAAAATTATTTTACTGAATATTTTTTGTGTTAAATAAAATTCTTAAAGTTTTGATTCTTTGGTAAATTGTGATATTTTAGCAATAAATTAAATTACTAAAATTACCCGATGATGACTAAGTTAAAACTCAACGTCAACCTACCAGAAAATCCCGGTCCCTCGAATTCTGCCGATCCCTCTCCCTATCCCCCGGTAGAACAGCCCGCTATCGTGGCCGCGAACATATCAATAACAGATCAAGGCAGAATGGCATTTTTTTGCAACTGCACTTGGCAAAACTCCTCACCATAATTTAAGGGAAATTACGCAAGCCTGCAACGTCTTTATGGAAATCATATACTAACACCTATTATGGATTTATATAATTATACGAGAATTAATATCCCGGAGATTAATATATTTGTCAGCAACGTTGAATATTTTAGAATGCAAACCAATCTCCAAAATAGATTTTTAACGGCCTAACTAATTAACGGGAAACAAATATTATGCATTTATTCCAATGGAAGGAAGAATGAAAATCAAATTTTATTCTAATTCCTTTGATTATAATGTATGATATTATTTAATTAATATGTATTTGTAATATTAATTTCCCATTGATATTCATGTAAAATAAATAATTAGCTAAATAAGTTGTAAACATTTATACAATTATTTTCTTTCTAAAATAAAATAGAAATATGACTCAATGTCTACTAGTGACCTGCATAGCTTTTATTTTTCTAACCCGTCCTGAAATTTATAAAACAATATATCCGGCCCGATCTCAAATGAATTTTTTTTTATTTGTCACGAAAAGCCAGACCCAAAATAAAAATTATTTGTCCTCGACCCCAATTTATTATATGGAAATTATGATTGTTTTCAATAGAGTTTTACATACACTGAACAAAATAAATTTAATGATCATTCTACTAACAAATAAATATTAGCTACTTATTTCTTACAAAAATTTTATAATATATTTATTTTATTTAAAATTAAAGCCTGTCCGGTCCAAATTTTATTTAAACATATTAGGTCTGACCCAGAGATCATCAATGTCCACCCACCTATTTTTTTATATATCTAAATTTTAAGTTTACTTTTTATTTGAAAATTTGAAAAATTTAGTATATATATTTTATAAATGAAATTTATGAACGATTTTAGCCATATTACTTATATTTAGAGTGTAATAACTTTTGGCCCAGTACTCGTCCCAGACTAGGATTTTGCACAAATATTAGGAAGTATAAGATTTATTTGTAAAAAAATTTAAGAGAAAAAAAGCGCAGTTTTTATTTTATAGGAATTTCCGGTTCTCTATTTCCTGTTTTTGGTAATAGATTTATTTTCAATAAAAAAATTTATATCATATTAAAGGGCTATTTTGGAGCTATTTAAATTATGTTTTAGCTTAATTAATTTTTGAGATATTTTAAATTAAATATGGAGTATTTTGGAATTTTCGCATTTATAAAGGTAGCCATACTCATGAAGGGAATTAAAATTTTATATTTTTACTAGTTAGTGTATATACTACGATCATTCAAATTTTAAGAAGAATGTAGGAAGGTCGGGTTGAATCTTCGATTGATTTGATATGGAATACAACATATATTTTACTATAATTCTTGTTACTAATGGATCAAATTTCAAAATAATTATCACATTTAGATGTATTTTTATAATATATTTTATATAAGTATCATGAACGAGGGCATTCGTGGAGTGAATACGGACTCAAATTTTAAACTGCTATATCTCCGTCATTAATTCAACTATTTTTTTAAGCTATGGTTCTCAAGGGTTAAGCACAATTTATGTAAAATTATAATTCCTGTTAAAATTTAAATTCACTTTAGGTAATAAAGGGTAAAAGCGTAATAAATAACTTAAACTTGTGGATTATATCGGGTTTCTACCAAATGCCCCCCCCCAGTCGCGGTGCTATTCGTTAATAATTTAACTTAAAGTAATTTTTGCAAAATGAATTTCAAATATTTTGATATGACACTACTTTGGCTGGAGATTATACTATATTTCATTTAAATGAAAATTAAATTTTTTTAATCCATCAAATAAACTATATTATAAATGAACATGTGCTAATTTGATTATGAAATGTATTTCTTATGGGGAAAGGATTAATTCTCATTAAAATTATAATTTTTAAACATTGATTTTTATAAAATAGTATTTGATAAATAAAATCATTTATCTTAACAAATGTTGTCAATTAATTATTGACTTTTGGCCCGAAACTTATATCTTTGACAGGAATGTTGTAAATAATAAAACTTTGAATAAATATTATAATGCGGATATCATATCGAGCTTTTTTATAATTAAAAATATTTATCTAGAAATATGACCTGAACTTTTATGCAAATATATATTTTATCTTTTAAAATAATTTATAATATAATTCATATAAAAAAAATCATATAAAATTTATCTCGCAAAATATTATTTTAAATTGATTCAAAAGGTAAAATATTAAATAGATTCATCGCCAAAGAAATGCTAACTAACTGTATATTTAACGCAAAGTTGATGAATATTTGAAAGATTATTACACAAAATTAAGTAAAAATTACGCAAAGAAAAGCAATGAATGACAAAGTTGAAAATAATAATGAAGATGTTTCTGCGACAACTGCTATCCAAAAAGGCGAAAAACTTGAACTGGTTGATAAAATTATAATAGGGGAAACGGTATACGCCAATTCAAAATTATTTCTCAAAAAATTTAAATATTTTGATTTCGCAAAAATTAAAAATTATAAGGATAAATGGAAATCAAAAGATTTAGCCACTAATTCTCATAATAATGACACTTCAAATTTTAATATTCCTTATCATTTTAAATTTACAAAATTAAAATATTTGCATTCCTCTTCGATCAGCAATGCTTCCTTAGATAAATTATTGCCCTTTACCAAATTCCTAAAATTAAATCAAGGAAAGTGCGTCAAATTAAGTTGTCCCAAAAATTTCGTTATTTTAGGTCTTTTTGAGATTTGCATCCAATATTGCATTCGCTTCGTTGAAAGTTTGTTCTATTCTATCAATCTATCGACGCTTTCGTCTGTTTTACCGAGTCTCTCGCACATCTATATCAAAGTTATAAACTTGTATAAACTACTTTTCTTGGATAAATACAATTTAAGCAGTTTGGCATCCCAAATTCATATTATGGATAAAAGTCAGTTACAAGGTAAAGTCTTGACCTTGGTTGATGAAGCGAGTAAAAAATTAGCCGGAGAAGCTCAAAAAAAAATTGAAAATAGAAAACGTTTGTATTACAGGTTAAAAATTATTAATTTATAAAATCTTACCTAAAAAATTAAGCTTTAAAATCCTTAATCAAAATAATTTAACATTTTTTTTACAGATTAATATTGAATTTTATGAATGATTAAAAACTTTAGTTAGTTCCACTTCTACTCACTCTTAATTAGTGCTGTAAACGTTTCAAAAAAGAAACGCTGCATTTGAAAAAAGGAACGCGTTATCTTTATTCTTTACCTTGTGATAACCCTAACCCTAAAATACTAAATATTATATGTAAATTTTATTTTATTTTGCCCAGATAATAAAATTAAAATAATATATTATGATGGGTTCTTTTTGTAATAATTTTTTATTTATTTTTAATAACAATTGATTTTCAAAATTTTGATCGGATAATCATGAGCTTTTAATCTCAACATCTTTCTGTAAACACACATTTGGAGAGGGATGGGAGGGTTGTATTATATTTAATAAATTAAAAATTTAATTGGAAGAATTTATTAAAAAATTTAAAGAATGATATTTTCAAAAAAAAACTTATTAGATCATCTTCACAAGAATCTTTACTTTCACCTCATCAAAAATTATTTATTACATATTTTTACCTTTTGTTTATTTAGATTTGAACAGCTGTACATCGAAGTTGAAATATTTGAATTGGGTCCAATCTACACTTACAAAATGTAGACTTAGTGACATCAATTTTCTTATTTGTGTAAAATTTGCTTAGTAGGGCCAGGGCAGAGTTAAATAATTTTCTGAAGAAATAAGTATTATTGACATATTTTTAAAAAATAAATTATAGATATAAATTAACATAGATCTAAAATTGGAGTGCTCCACTTAAAAAATTGTTGAAACTAGGAAAAAAATGAAGTTTAAAATAAAATATAAGAAAAACTTATAAGATTAATATAAGTAATAAATTGAAAGGTGATTTATAATACTATTTCCAGATAATAGCCTCTGAAATTTTTTTATGAGAATTATATTCACTTTATGATTTATTTTTTTATTCAAAATCTTCTATATCAATTTTAACAAAATAAACAGATAGCCCTCTAAATCATCAAAATTATATAATATACACAATCTTTAATTAATTCTAATTTATTTATAGAAATAACAATTTAGCAAAATAAAAAATTATGCCAGTATTTAACTGATAATTTTTTCTTACATATTTGATGATTATAAATATGATTAGCAAAAATTACGAAAATAGCCCAAAATTGGCATTGATCTAAGGCCAAAAATTAATATTTTTGAATCTAATCATTATTTATATAAGTTGAAAATAATCAATTAAAATTCAATCCTAACTCAAAAATGTCAAGTGGGTCACCCCAATTCTAGACCGACGATATTGATTCATTCAATATTATATATAATTAGATTAACAAGGCTACAATTCAACAAAAAAATGAAGAAATTTAATGGTTGATCTGAATTAAAAACTCGGCTTAAATTATTTATAATATAAAAAACATTATATCTAGAAACTAAAGGTGTATAATCATATTTTAAAATAAGAAATAATTTGACGGTTATACGTTACCTTTACTTAAAAGGAAACGCATTATTTGTTACAGGGTTGCCATGTCTCCCCACATCAGTGGGAGTCTCCCACAATTTTTTAGTTTACCCACATACATCTCACTCCCACAAAACTCCCACAATTAGAAATCTCCCACAAAAAGCTCCCACAATTTTTTAATTTCTCCCACAATTTTTTTTTTAGTTTGAGAGACAGTATTTGATTATTTTTATATTTTTATAATAAATTTTAAATATTTATTCGAAAATATGTCTAGATCTTTTCTTTTATTTTTCCGCTCTAAAATATATTTTTTATAAAATTCTCCACTCTACATTTTCAAAATTTTTGTGTTAGAAAGAATAGAAGTTAGAACAGTATGTATAATTATTATAAATATATTTTAAATTACTTAATATATTTTATATCGTTATCTAGAATTGCAGTGCTCCACTCGACATTTTCAAAATTTTTGTGTTAGAAGAATAGAACTTTTAGAAGTGGATATTATTCTAGTCTCTAATTCTTTTAAATAAAGTTAGTGGATGAATAATATTGATTAAATAATATTTTTCACTACTTACTTTTATACTATTGCATAAAGTATATGTCAAGCAAAAGATTATAAATATAATTGATATATTATTCAACAATAACTAAAAATCAAAGTGTATTTACCGAATTGAGGCAGCACAATAATGAATTAATACCAATTGGCTGTATATGCCATATACTGCATAATTCTTGAGAAGGCAATGAATGTACTATCTGTAGATGTCGAAGTAATTGTGATGAAATGTTTTAACGAATTTAGTTCATCAACTAAAAGAGTCACTGAATTAAAAGAATTGGTGGAGTGGTCTGATTTGGAATGGTGTGAGTTGTTGCGATATGTACCTATCAGGTGGTTATCATTAATACCTGCCATCAAGAGAATTTTAAAATTTTACGAACCCTTAAAGAAATACTTCTTAAATAAAGATTTTAAAAGCTGTCCTAAAATTTTGAAAAATTTTTTCGAGGATGAAATGTCAGAAGCATATTTGGGATTAGTTTCACATGTAGGAAATCTACTTCATGTAGTTAATATTCAGTTGCAATCAAAAGATTCTTTATTGATAAAGATTCACAAAATCATGCTACAGCTCTGTTCATCTCTACAGTTAAAAATGGATAATATATTTTATGGCGCTATTGCTAAAAATATCATATTAAAATGTTCAAATATTACTATAATTAACGTATTTTTAAATGAAGTGAAGCAAATATTTTTATTAAGACAATTTTGGAATATTTACAATCAAGATTTGATTTTAATAACTCTATTTACAAGTGTATAAATATTATGACCTTGGAACAGAAACCATCATTTGATGGTTTTTGTAATTTATTAAATATATTAAAATTACCGATACACATTGAAATATTTGAAGAGATTGTAATTTTTTCCATTTTTTATGATTCGCTAAAAGCAGAGGAGAAATGGGTGGAATTTTTTCATAATAACGATAAATCCCCATGCTTGGAAAAAATTTGCGAGTATGTTTTCTCCTTACCTCATTCTAATGCCTCATCGGAGCGCATTTTTAGCCTGATGACTGGAGAAAAGAGAGAAATCGAATTGCTTTAACAACATAGGAGGCCGAGTTAATGGTTAAAAAAAATTATAAAATGTCATGCCAGGAATTTTATTAATATCTTAATAACGACGGTAAACGTTTAGTTCCATTATTTAAATCTCAAATAAAATATAATTAACTATAACTATTTGACTTTCTATATTTTATAAAATCTTATTTATACATTTGCATAAAATCAAATAAATTTATTTTTTACATTGTAAAATTAATATTTTGGCAAATCATAAAAATAAAGAAGCATTACAATCTCCTCAAACATGACATCATATTAAATCTTATTAATAATTATCCGATAATAGTAATAATATTCTTACTTTGGTATTTCTGCAGCATAATTTAGTGAACCTTTATTAAATTATATTCTTCTGATTGCAACTGCATATTAACAGCATATAGTAGATTTTCTATATGTAAAATTCCTAAATATACTTCTGCCATTTATTTTTGAAAATTTTTTTCAAAATATTAGGACAGCTTTTAAAATCTATTTATTTTTTAAAGGTTTGTAAAATTTTAAAATTCTACGATGGCGCGTATTAGGAGGAACCTGTCAACCAACATTATGCTGACTCAATTCTGTAAATACACTCTGGTTTTTGCCAAATTCACTGAGGAATTATCAGATCAGAAAGCTGCCATGCAATTCATTGGTAATGCCAAATCTGCCATATTTACCATTATATATGGTTAGCTATGTCTTTGGATATATCTGGAGAAATTTTTTTTAATAGTTTTATTGAAATGACATTATTTTTGTTGAAATAGGGGAGGATCAAGGGAAATGTTTTGATATCTCATTATTAGATGCATCTGTTAGAATTGCATATGTTTGCACATCTTTCAAATCGTCAAGAATTGATTTTCTGGATTTATATCCTAAAACATTGATGATTGCCTTGCTCATTTATGTTCTACAAAGTATACTTTTCATTTATATTAGTCGTTAAATATTATGGGGAAAGATTCTTCCAACATTGTGATGTTAAGTAGCTCTCTGAATGTTGTACTGCATGATAGGTATTTACCATTTCCGCAACTGTAGTTGCATCTGTATTATTTCTTATTTTTGAAGAATATTTTTGTTTTGCAATAGATGTTGATAGACTGCCCTCTACTGATTTATGATTTGAAGATTTTTGATGCCTCAAAATATCATATTCCCTTCCCCCATTGTATTAACTAAATACTGTAGAACAACTTCCCCGCACTGATTATAATTATTTTTTACATTGTAAATTTAAAATTGTTTGTTTTTTTATAAAATCTTATTTATACATTAGCATAAAATATATTTTTTTACATTGTAAAATTACAATTTTTTTATAAAATTTTATCTTGTTTACATTCTTTTGTATTTAAAAAAGATCGTTGGTTATTATTTTTAAACAAAATTAATATATTATAATAAATCAATATGTTATTTTATAATAAAGATAGTATTTAAGAAATTTTGTGTCGTACTATTAGTGAAGGTCAACGGTCCGGTCCTATCGGTCTTAGACCGGGACCGGGCCGGACCGATTGTCGGACCGATCTTTTTGTTGAGGACCGTGGTCCGGACGGTCTTTTTAAGACCGGTCTTTTATTAATATTTAAGTTTACTTTACTATTCAATTAATATAATTTTTTTATATATTTTATTTTATGATAGGAGTTCAGAGTTGTTAAAAGATACTTTTTAAATGAATCTAGATACAGACACATCGTCTAAAAAAATATCTAGATACCGATATTTTAATCAAAAATCTATCTAGATACATATACAGATACCACATTTTTATATCTAGATACAGGATCTAGATACTTGTATCTAGATCTTTTAACAACTCTGTAGGAGTTATTTTAGATTTTGTTAATTTTTTTTTAACAATATGAAAACCATAATTTTGTCCAAGAAACATTTTACTTATAGTCCTAATAAAAAACATAGAATATGTGTTCACTGTAATACCAAATTTAACATATCGTCAGCAACAAGTAACAAAATAATTGTTTATAATTTTTTAATCAATAAATTAATCAAAATAAGCAGTATTATTATTAAAATATTTTGGTTATTATTTATATATCTATTTTTTCTTAAGAAAATGTCTGAATAATTCATTGTCAAAATAATTTAACCTTATTCTTAATAAAATAATTAGGTACCTTAAGCAGACATTTGATAAAACATAAAATTTCTTCTAATAATGAAAATGAAAATATCTCAAAAACACAATCTACTCTTAATTTAAATATACCCTCCACAAGTACAAAATCACTTTCTTCAATACCATTGGATAAATTCCAAACAGATCATATGAACCAACTCATTATAAAATGGGTAATAATGGACTCTCTGCCAATGAAGACTTTTGAAAGTTCAGGTCTTCATAATTTAATCAAATATTTAAACTCAACTGCTACAATTTGAAAAACAAAGTTAAAAAATTTTATACAGCTAATTTTGAGAAACTAAGAAATTCTCTAAAAGATATTTTAAATAAAAATAATTCTTTAATAAGCTTTACCACAGATATGTGGAGCAATATAAATAAAATTTCATTTATAGCCATTACTGCACATTATATTGATTCTTCTTTTTAAAAAATATTTTACTTGGTATAAATCATATCCCATTTCCTCATACTTCTGAAGAAATATCCTTAGCTATAAAAGAAGTAATTGATGTATATCAATTGGAGGAGAATATACTGGCCTGTACTACAGATAATGCCAATAACATCCTAAAAAGCATTTTGCAGAATATTTATAAGGAACAAAAATTTAAAGGCTTTAGATGCTGTGCCCATATTTTAAACCTAATATCTCAGGAAGGTTTATCATATATTATAACTATCCTAGAAAAGTGTAGAGACATAGTCTTTTCTATAAATAAATCACCCAAAATAAATGAAGCATATGTACAAATATGTGAAAATAAGGGTAAAAATTTAAAATCCCTTCTGATATCCCTATTAGATGGAATAGCTACTATTTAATTATGAATACAATTTATGAGGTATTTACATTTTTATCCAATTATTTTTAAAAAATATTTAAATTTTAGAACATTGGATGCTATAAAAGAAGTACTTTTTTGAATTACAAACAATTTAAAGGGGTTTTCTTAACTGAGTGTGAAAATGAAAACCTTAAAGATGCTGTAGATTTTCTAAGGCCCTTCTATAAAACCACACTTGATTTATCAGGATCCAAATATCCTACAGTTGGGATTTCCATGTTATATATGGAGAATATAAATAATGAAATTTTAAATAATATAAAAAAGGATAATAACAATACAAGAAAAAAAATTCTTAATAACATGCTGGTTAAAATGCAGAAATATCTCAAAGAATTATTTTTCTATGAATCATATGTCTCAACATTATTGGATCCGAGATTAAAACAAGTTTACATGCCTAAAATAGAATTGAGTATATGACCAAATTTTCAAAATATGGAAAATAGAAAATAGAAAATAAAAAAAATACAGGAATAACGGATTCTCAGGATTATATTATTCATAATTAATTTTATATTGTTTATATAATACTCTTATATTTAATAAAATGATAAAACAAATTAAATTAGGTTAAAAAAAATATGTTTTTTATTTAGGACCATGGTCTGGATCTATCTTTTTTAAGGACCGTGGTCCGGTCCGGTCCGAGGGTATCGGTCCAGTCCGGACCAAAGACCGGACCATGACCTTCACTACGTACTACAATTACCTATTTTGAAAAATAGTTGCCTATTTTATTTTGGAAAATAGTTACCTATTTTATTTTGAAAAAGAGTTGGATATTTTATTTTGAAAAATAGTTGGCTATTTTATTTTGAAAAATAGTTGGCTATTTTATTTTGAAAAATAGTTGTTGGCTATTTTATTTTGAAAAATAGTTGTTGGCTATTTTATTTTGAAAAATAGTTGTTGGCTATTTTATTTTGAAAAATAGTTGTTGGCTATTTTATTTTGAAAAATAGTTGGCTATTTTATTTTGAAAAATAATTACCATTTTATTTTGAGAAATAGATTCGATTTTATATTTATAAAAAATAATAAGCGGAGAAAATTTTTTTTTTAGCAATTTTCATATTTCTCCCACAATTTTTATATTACTCTCACAAAATACCTAATTTCTCCCACAATTTGAAAATTTTGACCTGGCAACCCTACTCGTTAATCATTATCCATTGAAACAAGGAATGAATGGCGTTCCTTTTCCTCAAAATAGGTAACGCCATTGGTAGAAAGTATCTTCATCGACGTTACTTTACATCACTACTTTTAATACATAGCTACAACGGTAACAAAGTTATTTGATTTGTTAAAAGATTAAACATAATTATAAATATAAACATTCTATTTTTTATAGATTGAAGAAACAAATTTGCATTTATTTAAACCGCCCACTGACCCAGACTCAGGGGGAAATTATCGAGGACGCTAGAACTTATTGTCAAGATTACATACACGACAGATTAAAAAGGTCAGGAATTGTTATATCACTTAAAAATCTACCAATCGGACCTGCTAACGATATATCTAATCAGATACTATTAATGGGGCATTACTTAGAAAGCAATTATCCCAGTTTATTTTGTAATATCGATTCCCAGCTAGATGGAACTAATAATTTCCTCACCGCAGATCGAGTAATCTATTTATTAAATCGTTTAGTTAATAACATCTTCAAGAAGGAATCATCCGCTAACTGTCACTTACAACACAATGGGATTCTTAACAGGAGAATTACATTGACAAGCAATGAATACAACACTCGACCAAATCGCAGCCAAGCGCCTACCATTGTTAATACTCAAATTTATTTTTATGATAAAAATGGTAATACCATATCTAACGCACAAAATCTAAACGCGTCAATATCAACTTCTTTGATAAATCGAAGACCCATTGATTATACCACAAATAATCAAAGATTATTAAACGGGCAAATTACTGGAAACGGAGTTATATCAAATGAAATAACTTGCTATAATGAAAATAACACAAATATAAGGGAGATAAACGAGAATGTGAATTGGGGTACCATTACTGCATTATTTGCTTTAGCTGGGGCTTTTGCAGTTAGTAGTGTTTTACAAGGTCGGATTGAATTTTTACCAGTTATAACAGAAAAGGTAGCATCTATATTTAGGGAGGATCTAGCTTTGTGGATATCCATGCAGCCCGGTGGTTGGGTAAATTAATAAATTTTATTATGCTTTTTTTTAAAATATCCATCAAAGCGTCAAATACTTTTACATTTATCAGAGACCTAAAGAAAGACCCGGAACAAATAAAATGGTACGATTTAATTATACTTGGCAGGTAGGTGAATTTGAAATATTTTCGGGCGAAATGAACAGAACTAGCTTATATTTGTATTAAAAATAATTTTTTTATTTCATAATATTGCAATTTTATAATTTTATAAAATATATAAAAATAAATAAAAAGCCAAATAATTCAAATAATTTTAAATAATTGGGCAGACTGGAGGTTTAAACAAATTTTAAGACTATTGGCAGGCGGGCTTTCCTGTTAAAAACCGCCCATTTTAGGCTTCTAAGACGGGAGTTAAAAAAGGGATCATTTAATATTCATTCGTTTTTTATATTTTCAATTTCTATTTGAGACTTTTTATAAATCCGTGTCGGGCCTAACTTTTGTAGGTCTCTGATATTGTACATTTCCTACTTGGGATTAATGATATTTCGTTTATATATAGGTGTCTTTGGTGACTCATTATAAAACAAAACAACGCAGACCTTACTCTACAAAGCTATTGTATTTAATTTCCCTTTTTACAATTATCTTAATTTTAATCATTTTATTGGGAAAAATGAATCAACACAAGTCTTATGTGACAAACAAAACATCATTTGAATTATAAAGCATAATATACTTTTTGTTGCATTAAATTACTATTTTATGTTATAAAAAAAATAATCAATTATATATTTTTTCATTATTTCATTTGTATATTAAAATCAAAATTTGAAAATATTATATAGTATTATTATTAAATTTTACTTTTAAAAAAATTTAAATTGCCTGATCAATTTTCATTATTAAAAGATCTTTAAAATCAATGAGTGAATGATTTGAAAAGGTTACATAAATTTTATTAGAGCCTTGCAAGTTGGCTTGAGGCCCACGGACTCGGTCTAATAAAATATAAAAAATTCCAAAAAATAGACTAAAATCTTTATTATAAGTTAGTTTGTAACTTTTATACTTGTGTAGGTAACGCCTTTGTCTATAATAACTTTTCGTAATTTGTGTTTTTTCTTAATTTAAGATGTTTATTTTACTCTTATTTATAATGTTAATTTTAGTTCAAAATCAAAATCTAATACAGAAAAGATTTTTATATTACATTTTAAAAGTCGTCACACCCAGAGGAACCGTTGTTTTTTTTGCGGATGCAATATAATTTTTTGTTGGCCCTATTTTTCTGTCCTACGCGGATATTTCTTGTAATTTATTTTTGATACAAATAATACAATATCCCGTAATCTTATTTCCTTCACTATAGATTGGGTAATTATCAGTAAGGCCTTTGTTACTCGAGGCATCAAGAGTGTTCTTTCTCCTATTTAAATGGAGTTCCTAATTAAGTGAGTGTTTAACCACGCTTGTCTAAGTTAACCTATGGACAGCCTAAGTCTTCCTGACCCTGTGTTTAATAGGGATACCCCGAACAGGTCTATCAGACCTTTCAAACCATTATCAAATAATGTTTTCTTTTATTATAATAAATTTATGAACAAATTTTTTATTATGAAATTATTTTATTTTTTTAATATATTCTTATTTCTTTTTTAAATTTTAATATATGGCCAATTGTTGCTCATAGATGGCAGACACTAAAATCTTAATCAGGCTGTATTTAAAAACCAGTCAATTCAACTTAAAACTAGGGTGAACAATAGCAGATATGTTTAACATCCAGATAATAAAGATTATAATTTATAAAATATTATCTGATAATATTTAATATTAATTATTAATTATTTATATTTAATTTATAATATAATTCTTAAATTATCTATGTCCAGTTGAAACTTACCATGTTTGGACTGGGCCAGAAAATTAACTTTAATATAAACTCATCTAGCTCAAAAACTATCATAGATGATAAAGCTTTAATTCAAATTTTTTAATTATTTTGAAAACTAGATTTATGCATATTTTTAATTATAAATTTGAAATTTCAAAATTAAAAAAGATTATGATTTTAGAATTATATAAAATTATTAATATATTTTAATAATTTATATAATATATTATATAAAATAGCGAAGTAGCTATTTCAAAATTAGTAGCATACTGCTACCGCCATTTTTTTAAAAATATAGCCGGCTAAAGCTACCGATACTGAAAAAAAGTAGCGCGTTATCACCAAATAATTTAATCTTGCTAGATGAGGGGTTTTTAGGGCAATACATCTATTTAATATATTTTAATCATTTTTGAAAATATATTTCTTTATATCATTTCGTATCTTCACCATTCCTTAAATTCAATTATATATAAATTAATATTTTCAGGGCTTTTCCCAAAATAAAATATATCACCGCCTTTTACTCTATTTTATTTTTCCGAAATCGACAAAGTATGCATTCGATAATATGGTATGCAAAACTCTCATTTAGGAGTAATAAATTTTTTAGATCATAAATTACAAATAAAAAGGTTAAAAAAATGTAGACAATATTTTTTTAGATCTTTTAAATTGTTACATCAACATGAGCTAGGTCTTATTACTTCATTCCCCTTGAAAGAAAGAATATGTGGAATACTATAGAAATATTCCTGACATGATATTTTACAAAAGTAAAATTTTTATAAATACTGATTTTGACATTCATAGTTTGGCAATAATATATTTCTACGGAAATGCCAATGTGACAAAAATGCGAGTATGTTGAAAATCTAGTCAAATCATAAAGTATAAACGTTCATATATATTTTTTTAGAATTCTTCTTTCATATCTTTGTTTCCTTTTTTTTATTTCTTCCTTCTTTTCCCCTCTCTTTGCTCCCCTAAATTCCGTCGGTGTTCAGATAATCTGAGTAGTTAATGAGCCACATAGTTTCAGTGTAAATAAAAATTGGAATTATTGGAATTTTTTCTACATCATACTTTGGAGCAAAATGCATTTTTGCCGTCCTGTATGGATAATATGAAAATGTCTCAAGCGGGATTCTTGCTAAACCGAAGCATCGGCAGTCCTAATATTATCTTCGCATAGGTCTTGCATGATCGTTTTTAGATATAAAAAGGGTAATTTATATTTGATTATAAGAAAATGTAAGTTTTGTAGGACAATAATAAATCGCAATATTAAATTTTTTCTATTATAAATTATAAAAAAGAGGTTTAATGATATAGAGAAAATTACATTTCTAATTTATCCATCATCAAACGAAGGAGAAATATCTGATTCACCCGTTATTCTTGATGGGTTAGCAGCTAGTTATCTATAAAATTTTAAAAAAGCAATATATAATAAATTAAAATATCTTTTTCCTTTTTATTGAAGAAAATATAAAATAACGAGGAATTTTTCGCGTTCCCGTTTCTTAAAAAAAAGAAGCGCATTACTCGTTTACCTTTGAAATAATTAGCGAATAGCCTTTTTTTTCCTTAAAAATGAACGCCGTTAGTATCGTCGTTACTTTTATAGGACTAATAAAATTATTTTTTGTTTTGTTTTTGTCCAAAAACATCGATTTATTATAAACTTTTAAAACTTTATCGAAAAACACGGAATATTTTTTTAATAGAAAAATTAAACAAAACATATGTATGAAATTTTCAAAACCTTATGCTTAGGTTTCTTTAAAGTTTTTTTGTTTTTGAAGTAAGTTTTGGACGCAATCTTACTACAACTATTTAAACATTTTAAATCTACATTCAAATTAATATATTGAATTTGAAACATCGTAAAATAGATAGAGATATGATTAGAAAGAGACAAAAAATAATATATAAATATTTAAACTAAATAATAATATAAATAAGATAAAAATAACACAAGGAATATCATTGAGCTAGAAAACTTATATGTTGCTTCGAAACACCGCGACTTGAGCGGATAGTATAATTTTTAAAGTAGATTCATAAATCATGATCTCCCCCCCCCCACACCCCCAAAAAATCTTTAGGAAAAGTAGCTCCTACGAAAATATATCTAATTGAAAACAAGGAAGAAAGAGTTTAGATAAAATTAAGCGAAATTTAATAATTACTTCTTTAATTATCCCATATCAGGTTTTAAATAAGAAATCAGTAAAACGAAATAGGTACTTTGTTTGATTTTACTGATGGTTTGTTTTCAATTTTCTGGTGATTCTTTATTTCCGAGATTTGATGGGGTTTTTTAACACATCGGTTATATTTTTTTCAGAGGGTTTTATTTTCACGATATTTTTTCCTATGATATTTTTTCCACTTACTGTCGGTGATTATATATTTATATTGTAATATCAATTTTTTCTAAGTGTTTCAGGATTTTATTTTGTGTATGGAAGGCGGGGGGTGTATTTTTTATGATAAATTTTATTGAAATATTTTAGTCCTGCTTTTTTAAGGCATTTGAAACAAATACATTTTAAAATAGTTTAGTTCTTCACTTTTTTACAAAAATTTTAAATTTTAGGCATTATTTTAAAAATTCATATATACTTTCTTTAGAATATATTGTTTATAATGACATTGTACAAATTTTTTGGAGAGGGAGGGAGAGCGATAGGAGTATATGGGTTTTTAGCATTGGCTTAAATTAATATCTACGAAAACTTTGAAACCTCTTTCCCCTTGTGCCATTGATTTTCCTGCTTATTTATAAGGTTAGAACTATCGTTAGTTCATTTTTATAAATTATCACTCATGTCAGTCTAAAAAAACATAGCAAACCAGAAATTAAACGAGTTTGGCCGGGCAATTTGTTCATGAAAAATTTCTTGATGAGCCAGATAATTTATATACAAAAAACCAGGCAGGACCTCGCAAATCGCTTATTTTTCATATAATTTAATAGGTCGGCCCGAGCATTAAAATTTAGATATATATTTTTTGAATTTCAAGCAAATAATTACAATTATTATTTGAAAATAAATTACAATATGCTTATTTCTTTGTATTTTAAGAGCTGTCTAACTAAAATACCAAATCTATAAATATAGTTGATAAAAGAATTAAACAAGTTATTTATGATGTGATCCCATTACAAATACACAATACATATATCCAACTGATTTATAAAATTTTATCAACAATGGGAAAAAGATTCAATATAGAATTAAAAATGTTCGGAAAATTCTACCTAATAATATAACGGTCCGGAGAGAACTTTTCGTAAGCTTTTAATAGGCACTTGACTTTTAATTTAAACGGGCCGTGCAAAAACTTTAAAGGGTCAGGCGGGATAACTTTTGAAAAAATTCAATTTTAGTATATCTTGCCTTACCATGTCAACAAAGGCTAATGGCAAAATTAGGAATAGCGAAAAGGTCGATGCGCTTACTATCACGTATCACGTAAAATTTAAACATCATCTAATAATTTTCGATATTTTTTTTTTAATTTAAAACAAATTTATTATTAACTATATCTATAATCAATATAAAAATATATAATTAAAAGAAGGGGGAAAAAAAAATTTGTTTATAATAATATATATTTACGTATGGTCGGTGAGACTTAATGACCCATGTATGGATATGCAGTTTGAACGACAGATTTCGATTGATAATTTTTGTCGAAGGTCGAAGCTTCTTTTGGATCACCTGTGATTAAACGTAACCTTTGCCCTATTGTTTTAAAAATTTTAGGCTTGGCGTCCAAATAATCCACAGGTGTCTGAGCCGGAGCGAACAAACATTTTAATATTTATATTACCTTTAATTTTATAGAGTATGCAAACAAACCCCTTTAAAATTTATAAATAAAAAATTTATCACATTATTCTTT